ATATAAAATATTATATATATATGTGTGTGTGTGTATATTTATATATTTCTTTATATTTTTATATATATATTCTTTATTTATAAGCCTAAACTATTTATATGCCTAACTTCAAAAGAATAATTTAAGTTTTGTATGATGAGAATGTTTTATAAGCCAAGAAATAGGACAGATAAAGGGTTAGGGCATTCAAATAAAAAGGGAAAGTAGCAGATTAAATATTTCCTATGAGAAAATCTCTGATTTCAAAAAGAAGAGAATAAAACTAATTGCTCATTTATTTGGTTAAAAAGTCATTTATTCATCTCACAGTTCTAAAAATAAAACCTTAAAATGATTTACAAATCTAGGGAAGCTTATATTTTATCTATTTTACATAGTGTAGCTGTGTGCTTTTATCACAGTTGATGAAGCAGTAGGAGAACACAAAATCAGGAATGCAGGACATGGCATATACCAATTCCTTGATTTCATGCACACAACATACAAAATTTTTTGTCACTGGAGATGGAGCACAGGACCTTCACACTGAGCTGTAATTCTAACCTGCTATTTTTTATTTTGAAACAAAATCTCTCTAAGTTGCTAAATGGCCCAAGCTGGGCTTGAACTTGCAATTCTTCTGGCTCAACCTCCCACAGTGCTGGGATTGCAGGAATGTGCCACCATGCCTGTGATTCTGTGCACAAATTTGAAACTAAGTAAATTAAAGTTTTATGTAAAGATAGGACAAAACATAGGATGTCAGTGGAGATGAATTTTTGCGTAGTACATTACAATTTTAAAGTATGGTATCTTTTATGAAGTGGAACTAGCAAAACTTGTATGGTCTGAAGTAATATGATTCTACCAAAAATATCCTGATTTTGCATGATTATAAATGAATAAATAAATAAATAAATATCTCTAAAAGACCAAATATGGCACATCTTATATTCATTTCCTTCTCTTTTCCTTTTTCTATCCTAGTTCCCTACCCTCATCCTGCACATCCTACTTCACCATTCAAGTAAAATGACTGCCTTTAAATCCTCATCTCTGGGTCTACTTCAAAAGAAACTCAATCCAAGGCATGTATGTTAGCATTCCTACTCCCTCACAGGGACCATGGCAATTAATGACTATTTAATGATGAAATAATTTCCTGCACATCTGCCTGCTTCTGTGAACTATAAACCTCATTCGGGCAGCATGACAGATACTACAAGATGACACACTCAGTGCCACTTTGATCCACATTCCCCTTTTACATTTCATGTTAAAATCAGTGCAAGCCACATGATGTAGTTCTGATCAATGAGGCAAAAACAGGGTCTGTTGGAAATGTCTTCCCTGAGAAAAATGACAGGCCTGGGAAGAAGAATCCCTTGGTCCACTAAGAATGTAGATGTGATACTGGAAATACAATTACCATTTGCTAATCATGAAAATAAACCTCCTGTGAATGGCAAAACAGAAAGCTACAAAGAGCCTGAGCCCCAGATAGCATCTGTTAGGGTTTAGATCTAAAATATCCCCCAAAAATCTCAGGTATCAGAGGTGGCCCTTTTGGAAGGTGAATGGACCATGTGAGTGCTACACTCATCAGTGGATTTATCTATTGATGAGTTCAATACATGAAAGTGCTGTTAGGAGGTACGGCCTGGTCCCCTGGAAGGATATTGTCTTGTCCCCAGGTCCTCCCTTCTCTCTCTTCTTCATGGCTGCCATAACACTACAGCTTTCCTCAGCCAGGCACTTCCGCCATGCTGTTTCTGCCTGGGAGCCTGCTAACCATGGACTGAACCCACTAGAAACCGAGTCAGATAAACCTCTCCTCCTTAAGTTGTGGGTGTCAGGTATTTGCCCCAGCAATGCGAAAGGAACTAATACACTATCATTGTCCCATCCTTGTGTTGCCTGCTTCCAAAATTTTTATTAGGAGATAAAACTAAATCTCTATCTTTTTAAGCCACTCAGAGTTTTCTGTTACTTGCAACTGAATTCACGGCAACTGTTGTAGACAGGGATTATATTCATCCTATTCAATATGTATTACTGGCATTTAGGTTACTGCATGACACATTGTACATATGTGATAAAGATTTGTTGATTTAGTAAATGAATAAATGAACCCTGCCAAACAATCTCTCCCCTCAAGCACAGAGCTTATTTTTGGTGGCAAATGCATCAGGAGCCTACCAAGGGCTTGGAGACATATAGCTGGGATATCTGTACAGTTATTGAGATTGCCGCACTAGAGAGAAATGCCTCTGTTTATTGCGTTTCATAACGCCACAATGTTGCGCCAGTCAGTGGGACTCCAAAGACCTGACCTGTGCATAACCACTTAAGTGAAAACCTCCCCCATCCATTAGAGACCTGGGAGTCGCTGGCTGCCACTCTCTATCTCCTACACAGTGTAATCACCTTAGAATAAAAAGGGAGCAGTAACCCACAGGTCCCATTTTCCCATTACATGCCTGGCATGACTCCAAGAGATGAAGGCTGGGGATGCTGTCTCTCCACTTCTGGGGACCTTCTCAAATTGGAATAAGATTCTAAGGCTGAAGAGAAACTGCTACTAGGATCCATGAGGTAGATGGGAAAGAGCTTAGACCACGACCCAATACAATGGGAGCCCCCCACCAGTTTTGCTGCTAGCCTGTTTAAACATCTTGATCCAGTTACTTCCCTCTCTGAGCCTCAGTTTCCTCATCTGCAGGAAGGGCTAAGAAGAGTCTCCTTCTAGGAATCCAGGCCTGGAACAGCTAAGGTGTGTGCTGAATCCTTACAATGTGGCAGGCACACTGAGTACATCACCTTTTTGAATCTTCACATCAGTCCTGGGAGAGAAGAATTCTTCACTCAGCCACATTACAGATGAGGATGCCAAAGCTCAGAGAGGTTGACTAAGTGAATCAATATCACACAGCTATGTAGTAGAGGAGCCAGGATTCAAACACAGATTTGTCTGACCCCCACAGCCACTCTTCAAATGTGCAATTGGTTTCATATATTGGGGTAACAAGGCCCCAAAGCAAGACTAACATGTAAGGGAAGACCAGTCAATACTTATTAACTTATATAGGCTAGAAATAGTTTTATGTGGGAGATTAAGTGGGACATTTTTAAAAATCAGAGAGTCACCATTTCAAATGTCACCTCCACCATTTATTAGCCAAGTGACACTGAGCAAGCGTGTTAGTTCTCTGAGTTTCATTTTTTTCTTCGGGAAAATACGCAGGTAGCCTATAAACTGATGAGTGATTGAACAAAGTATGATCTATCCACCCAAAGGAATATTATCCAGCTATGAAAAGGAACAAAGTGATCACAGGTACTGCAATACAGATAAACCTAAAAATCCTTGTTCTAAGCGGGAAGAGTCCACAGCAAAAGGCCAGACTTCATAGGATTCCACTAACATCAAAGGTCCAGAAAAGACCGATGCGATGGATGAGGTTAGAGGTCGCACAGGGACAAGGAAGATGAAGAATGACAGCGAGGGGCAGGCAGTTGTTTTGAGGTTGACAAAATGATCTAAAACTGGGTGGTGATCATGGTTGCACAGCTCTGCACACAGGCGGTGTGATCGAGAAGCTCCCTTTTGTGTCTTCACAAGGTATCATCAAAAATACAGTGAGTGCCACTGTCAAATGCCATCCAATGGGAAGGCAGGTTCATAACAACATGGCGATGTGTCCTCATCCACTGGACTCACTGAATCTGGCACCATGTAACTACTGACTTCCCCACACTCAAAATGACCGTGGGAAGTCAGCATTTTGAATCAAAGTGGGACATGAAGGCAGCTATGACAGTGCAACTAAAGACACTCACAAAGGAGGACTTTCCTGAACTGCTCCAGAAAGTGGCAAGATCAGTGGGTTAAATAAGTGTATTCAAAGCAAGGGTGTGGATTTTGGGGGGAATTAATGGTGATGTGTCTTTTATTGTACTAAATTTTTTCAATGTAAATATTTTTCAAACCTCTCATGTATACAAACTGTTGAATTATTAAATATACATGCACTTTTTTTTATTATTTTAAAGAGTAAAAGAAAGATAACATAGTAATAGGGGGGCTTACCGAATTACAAAGTGGTAGGAAATTATCAATGGTTGTTGTTTTACATATTGTTATCTACAAGATAGTTTCTCAGGAAAACAAATAGACAGATAATAGTGAGGTACAGTCAAAAGTAGTAGGAGATTATCAATGGTTGTTGTACTATACTTTGGTATCTTCAAAGTGGTTTCTCAGGAAGACAGAGATACGCAAGAAGGATCTAACAAGTAGTTACAGCCTAAGGGTTGTGAAAAATAGCATATTACCTCCTCACCAGTAATATGCACATTTTTAAGGCCTATGTCTGACGTACTCAGGTCTGAGCTGGGAGCAGAACAGGAAGGGAAGAGCTCAGGAATGAGGGTGACGTGGTGGAGGTGACAGTGACAGTGATCAGAACAGCACAGCTACAGAATGTGAGCGCCTGTCCCATGTCTCACATCATCTTCCAACTACACAACATTCCTGGAAGGCAGATGTTGTCACTGTAAAGAGAACGCCTGATTCTGTGACATTAGCGCTGCCTGGTTCACACTGCCCCTGTTGCACAGGTCCAAGCGGAACTTGGGCAAGGTCAGAATCCTCACGGAGCCTCAGTTTCTCCCCCTGTGGAGAAGGCCTGAAGCTGATCCTGACCTCAGGATGAGGAGGACAAGGCACAGTGGGGCCTCGGGAGCCCCGCAGCAAACAGCCAGCAAACATCAGCTCCAGCCAGGAGCATGGGGCCCCCATGCAAAATGCGACTCAGGAGCTCAGAGTTTGGCCCAGTAAGGTGACACAGCTGGCAAGACGTGCACCTGGAGTTCCAACCCAGGCCCGGCTCCACATGGGGCTGGTGCTGCTGCC